GTGTGTTCACAACACTGGTTGTAGAAGCTTTTACCAGATGCTAGGAAATTTTTGCCAAAATATGTTCAAATGAAATGACTTCCAAAATAAGAGAAATTTCCACAAATAATAAACTTAAAACATCAGATAACTTCCAGCTATCAGATATTTCAATACTTCCATTTACTGTGAGGTTTTTTTTCTCATGCATATCCAGAGAAATGGCTAAAGGAACTGTAATGGCCTTCTGGGACAGGAAGACTAAGGTTTCTGTAAGAAAATGTTAAATTAATTTTTGTAGTGATGCAAAGTCAGGGAAGGGTTGTTAAGGGATGGCCTCTTGCCACAGGGTGGAGTTTTGTTTTGGTATCCTTTTAGAGTCTGCAGGTGTTTGGCAGGAGCTGAAATCAGGGCCAGCTGTGATATTTCAGCTCCGATATTTCCCTCCCCATATTTCTCAGAAGTGATGCATCAGGGTGATGTCTTACACCTGATGTACTCAACTTGTGTGGTATGACTGTAACTGCCTTGCGGGGGGAGGAATATCACTGCATGGCTTTCATTTTTATTTTCAGCTGGCAACATTCATATAGTAAAATTCATCAACATGAATAGATTTAATCTCATAAAACATCAGATTTTGTTTGTTGCTTCTTATATATGCAAGCCATTTCATAAAGTAGTAACACTGTGTAAGAACAGTGAAAGACATTACATTGTGAAAATGGGGAGGGTAATGTTTTAAACAAAACGAAACAAAAAAACTTTCAGTCCCCTCACTTTACCAGCAAAGATCCTTGTTCTTTCATACTTAGCTGCAGTACAGTGCGTACCTGTTTTTGTTTTATCTTTTGGGAGAATTTGAATAGTTTCTATTAAAAATGCTATCCTCTTTTAAGTTTGTTTTGTTTGGAAAACCTCAAACCACGTTGTATTTCATACATATGTTCCCCAGGGTATGTTAAATGGGACCATAATGAGGTCACTAGTAAGTTTTTAAAACGTTCTAAGAATTCCTTTAATGTTCGTACTATCTTGGCCTGGTTAAAAGAACATATTTTTAAAAAATAGCTTGAAAACTTTTGACTATAAAAAGCTTCATAGTCTATATACAGTCTATACTGTACTATTAAAAGTTTGTAATAACTTTTAAAAACATTCTTTCTTCCCTCTCGTTTTTAAGAAAAGTGTTCCCTTAACTAGCAAAACTGTTCCTCTCTCTCTCAGCCTTTTTATCCATATATCACAAGTACATATATACTTCTATCCACAGACTGATTGACTTAGCAGTACAAATGCCTGTGGTATTCATTTTAACTTCACAAATGAATAAAAGATTATAATCAGTGGGAAAAGTGGACATTTCACTCCATTCATGGAAAAACAGTATCACCTGGCACTCCAACTTAGTAAAAGATTTCATGTTTTTTGGCAGCTCACTTGGAGTATGATTGAAGCTGTTAATGATATTAACAAAATGTCCTGGGATCAGAAATGTGTTGTTTTATCGCAGTTTATAGAAGAAGTTATACAAACCACTCTTGGCCTTCAGAGTTCTGAGGCCCTTTTAGGTAAAATAACATAAAATTTGAAAACACGACTCACCTATAGGTGATTTAAGTTCCATTAGGCCACTTCAGTCATCTCCTTTACTTGTCTTTCCTGTCTCCTCAGACGTGCTTCCATTCCTCCCTTACATTAGTCCAACCCCCTCCCAGGATTCCTGTCTTTGGCTGGTACGAGCCCCATGCACCCTTTGCAGCATTACTGACAGCTGAGCTGGCGTACGCTCTGACGATTGTTGATATCCACGCGGTGCATCTTGGTCACTAATGGTGCAAGACTGCACTTATAATGAGTGATGGTTGCGTTGTGGATATCAAACTCCATAAATCAAATAGGAAGTCAGTGGCAATAAAATGAAGTTAAAAAAATGAAACTGTGTTTAGATTCAATGCTGCTGGTAATGCCCAAAATGGAAAAGGTTAGCAAAACCTAGGTATTATCTATTAAAGGTAGATGAGAGTTTGTATTACATTGAAGTATCACCAGGTTCGATCTTTTTCTGGAGTCTTTGCAATGGCTGAAAGCAAATGACTATGATAAGCAGATTACTGCGTTATGATAAACTCTTTACATCATACTGTTTGTACTTGTTATTATACAGTATTGCTAAGTAAGGTTATTAGAATAGAATAGTTTGAGTTGCAAGGAGCCTTTAAAGGTCATCTAGTCAAACTTCCTGCAATGCACAGGGACATCTTCAACTAGATCAGGTTGCTCAGAGCCCTGTCCAACCTGACCTTGAATGTTGTCAGGGATGGGGCATCTACCACCTCTCTGGGCAACATATTCCAGTGCCTCACGACCCTCATTGTCAAAAATTTCTTCCTTATATATAGTCTAAATGTACCCTCTTTCAGTTTAAAACCATTACCTCTTGTCCTCTTTCCTAGAAATGCATTTTCTGATCTAAACTGAGCCTGAAAAAAACCACACCATATTATAATGGGAGCCCTATGTAGAATGATTACAAAGTTTTCATACTTAACGGCTGGCTTGAGCTTTACATGAAAAAATCTTGCCGTGATTACAGTATGTTGGTGGTGGTGGGTGCTGGTTTTCCCTTGTCATAACTAGGATTTCATAGCGCAGAGGACACCTAGCTTATGGATTCTCAGGTGTTGCTAGACTTCTTCCCTACTCTTAGACATAGTCTCAGGGCACTGTCATGCTTTTTGAGGTTTTAGAAACCAAAATTGCAGACTGGCTTATGAAAGAGTAAACCTATACACAAGCATGTATGTTTATCCTAGACGCATGCTGTCTCTACAGCAGCAGCAGAGTGAGCAAGTGGAGGGAGACTGAACAAGGTAACAGCAAAAACTACGGTTCAGAAGAAATGAGAGGGTGAAAAGCTTTGCCTCTAAATCCAAGCTATGGATAAGTGACTGAGGGCAATGAAGCCACCTGTGAAGGTCTGAAGTCTTCACCATCAAAATAAGAATTTGTGTAGAAATTAGAAAAATACCCTTAAGAGGCTGAGTATGCTACTCTCTGAATTGCTGGTCTGCTGGATGGCCTCTCAGATACGTTAAGGTGGAGTGGGGGCTTAATTTTATATAAGTGATGTAAAGTAAATATCTTGCCGTAAGAGCAATGCATTAAAATGTCAACACTCTTCCATATTTCAAGACAGATGAGGAAAGAACTGCAGTCTTCCCCCCATCCCTTGAACAGAACAATAACTGTGAGAAAATGCTTAAAAAGGCAAGCAGCACCAGAAGCGAAAAAAATATGTAACATGCAGCATCACCACAAATACTAACATTTCATTTCCAACAGTAATGAGAACACAGTGGCCGAGTGCCACTTATTTCAGAGAAGGGAGTAAGAGAGACAAGATTTTCAAGCCGTTTCAGGGGGGCTGGGGGAGATCAGTATGCCCCTTTACAGGAAAATATTTTTTTTAAAAAGGGAGCCATATGGCAGTATCTGACTGCAAAGCACTGAGATACCTTTTATGGATAGGCTAACTATGTCAGGTAATAACCTGACTTCTATATATAAATACTACATATAATATAATTATATATATAAATTATATTTAGGTGAATTCTAACAAGAACAAGGTAACCAAGCTAAACTCTTTTCAATTTGGGAGGTAATGGCCATCCCACAAATATAAATTTAAAAGCCATTTCTTTCAGAGTGGACCTGACTTTTTAAAATTCACAGCATCAAAAAAAAGCCAAGAATATTTTTCCGATGTTGCCCCAAGTACAGCCAAGTCAGTCACATTCTGAGTAAAATAAAGACTCGCTATATGTTCTTCAAAGCCCAACCTTAATCCCTGTGAAAATTATGAAGTGAAAAATTTGGCCCATGCATACTTTACAGCGTGGTACTACATAATTTTAAAGAGAAAGAGCATATTTAAGAAAAAAAAACTTCTTTCCTTGCAGTAGCCTAACAAATATTCTCTTATACCTTTAAAAATATAATAACATTTTATAAAAAATGTATTTATTATAAACATATTCCCTCATAATAGAGATTGTTTTGCCTGCTCTTCTTTCCCAAAGATTGCAACTGTATTCACAATCCTGACAAACACTTCTCGATAGTAGACATGGACATGTACAGAATGGTTGCTGCTTTTTTTTTTTTTTTTTCCACTTCCAATGGTCAATAATTTTTCTGGCTACTCTCATTATTAAAAATTAATTTAAAGAAGATTCATCACACAATAGCTGTAAAATACTCTGTTACACTATTCAAGACAGTATAATTCCGTTTGTATTGGGCCCTCTAACCCATCATAAGCCAGAGGGTAAGAAGAAGGGGAGGAATCAGGGAATATGCAGATAATGTAAATCTAGAGATACTCAAAAGTAAAAATATTGCTTACAATAAAGTATAGACGCAATTCTGTAAAAGACTTAAAATTTAAAATAAATAAATAAAAAGCTGAAGCATTCTCAGCCAGGGAAACCACGAGGCCAAGCAAAGGGTAAAAATCTTTCTGCATATGACTTTTGTGCTTCATTTTTCTCTTTCCACTCAAAAAGTTGCCAGTTTTTTTTCCAAATGGTAAAGATTCTGGTTATCCATACTCCATACAGAAAAGCAGTTGCTTCTGGACAGCAAGAAAGGTCTTTTTCTGCATACTTATCTGTCAAAATGCAATTATGTAATATATTACAGTTTCTTTCCCTGTTTTACCAGCCATTTTTGAAAGACACACTCCATACAAGACATGGAAAACCTATGGTTTAATGCTTTATTGCAAAAATCTGTGTTCCCAAGCATATAATTCATTTAAGGATCTGTATTTATTGCCTATTAAGCCATATTATTAGCTTAAACTCAATTCACCATATAACTCAATCCACCATATAACTCTCAAATCCCATTTTGAAGTAGCTGAAATCAGGTCTGAGTGGCAGGAAAAGTGATCATTACTCAGCATTTGTAAAACACATGTAATAATGTATAGAAAATACTTGGTGAGAACCAACCTGAGGATCCGAGAATACTTGCTGCATATTGTTGATTGGGCCATATGGAACCCCACTACCTTCAAAGAGCTGCAACCATTCGATCGTTGCTTTTTCTGAAAACCTAAGAGCAAATAAGAAGCATGTGGTTTCAGCCCATGCTTTCAGATTCAAAAAAATGTACAGCATGTCTCCTCCCTCTCTCACTGCTTCCATACTCTTCCCCACTGATTTCTTCCCAGGCAGTGAATAACATGATGAAAATATACTACACGTGTTCTTCAGAAATTAAAAACTCCAAGACATAGGGGAAAGAACATAGCTGAACTGACTTCTATCTGTTCATCTATCTAGCAATGATGTAAAGCTAAATTTATCAGCAGTTTCAAATAAGGATCAATGGGTTTCCTCCAGTCCTTAATCAATGTGCTTCACATTTGTTTTCCTTTATGTACACATTTAAAAATAAAAAGATAGATATAATGTGGGTATGAGTCTAACATACGACACTGCTCTTTAAAAGCTGATGTAAAGCACCACAGTGGTTTTTCCTCCATTACATCCAAAACATGTCAGGATTAACAGCCACATTTTTTGGTCAGATACCAACATTGATTACGTATTTATTTGTTGCATGATTGTATAACCTATGCTAAAGGACATCCAGTTCAGCATATATACACTGTGCCTACGCCAGTGAGCACAGAGATCCAAACCAGTCTGTTTCCCCTATTTTGCTAGATACATTTTCTTTCCTCATCTGCCCCGTAGTTACATACACGAAGAAAACACACTCCTGAAGCAATACCAGTCACTGAGAGATGGTATTTGCTGCAGCTGTCTGGGACTCTGAATCAAAGGGGAACTTACTTGGAGATCTTAAACTTCATTAAGATAAATAACACAGAGGTCTACCGGATTATTAGAAAGGAAAGTTCTATGTCATGATACGTAGATACAACAAAAAGAAATTAGGTGTGATTTAAAGACCTGATGAAAATAAAATCAATAGGAACCTTGATAAGGGACACTCAGTTACTGGTGCCCTGCAGCTCACCAGTGCAGAGTTCCCCAAGTGTTATTCAGGAACAACGTCAGTAACATTCAACTTTACTTCCAGCATGTTATTACGAAAAAAAGAAACCCCAACCTTCCCGGTTTCTGACAGAAAGTTAATAAAGACAAAGCCCAAAAGCACAAAAAACCCTAAATCGGTACCAAGTCAAACTTTGTAAACTTCCTTTTATACATATGCAGAGATTGGCCACAAAGTATTTCAAGCTACTTTTAGACTAAAGAAAAATAGTGACAGTGACAAGTTATAGTTATATTAAGTATATGGCATAGGTATAGATCCAAGCTTCACAATTAATGTATTTCTCCCTGCGCAGGAAAAAATTCCCCAATCTTTGAGGGAATAAATCCTAATACCCAATGCATCTTGCACTTCTAAATAAGTAGGAAATGCACAAGTTTTGCACTGTTCATCCTCAGAAATAAAAGCTTTACTTCTGCTGAACACACATGAAGTTAAACACTAGTAGAAATAGAAGGAGCAATAATACAGAAAAATCAGAATAAAACACTTCAAAAGTGCAAAATGTATTATAAAATGAAGCAGCATCACTTCTGAAGAAATGAAGCATAATGAAGCATCACTTCAAAAGAAAACAGATACAAGATTATTGTACTGTTGAGTTATACACTTCATTGAATATTATTTTATGGTAGTTATTTTAAGACATAGTCAACCATAAAGATAATGCCACTCTTGGACCCATCTAGGGTCCATCTAATTTAGTATTTTATTGCTGACCATACTTAGAACCAGGTACATTACAGGAAAACAGGGGAAAAAGGTAACTACAGGGATGTAGATAACCTTCCTTCCTCAGTGACTGCAGGAAAGCATGATTTTAATCTGAAATATAATTTCTAATTCCCTTCAGTAGTCTGTGGCAACAATTCTCATACTCCGTATATTCTTGTTATTCATAGCCTTCTATTACTAAGGTTTGGGGCTCAAACTACTGCACAATGTAAATATGATTCACATGAAAAACTGTTTCACATCAGTTATTGGTGCTATTTATACAAAACTGTGCTGATTCTTTGCTAGCAACTGAGCCACTTCCCTCCTGAGATGCTTCGAAATTCATGGCCTACTAACTCCCTTTTTATAAATTAAAAGCTTTTTTCAGCTACTACTTTTTCTGACACCTCAACCTCCACTACTGTCTCATTTCTAACAAAAGACAGCACATCTACAAGAGGACTTTTGGACTCAGCATCATAACTTTGGTGCTGAAGACCATCACCAAGACCTTATTGAAATTCTTAATATTTGCATCATCATTCCCTTGATCTATTAGTAATGAATAAGCCCTGCTGTATGTTCCTTGTACTTCTTTTTAAGGAGGAGTTTATAAATATTCTCCTGAGTTTAAAAAAAACCCAAAACCAAATAACTTTGGGATTTAAAGGATAGTCTGAAAATGAAGTCTTTTCAACAGGAGTGTCAATTCGCTACACCTGCATAATCAGTATGCTACTTTCTGATGTCATGGTAAATCTGAATAATTTTCAAGACATACATTTCTTCTTCAGTAACATTATTATGAGTGACTCAATATACAATGAAGTGAGGGCATGTTTTGCAAAATTTCTATGGGATGAATTTCTGATTTCTTTTTTCCTGTGAATTTCTGAAATTGTAGCTTCTGCTTAGCTTTTTCCTTCCTATGTAACAGACAAAAAAATTACCACAATTTTGTAGAGAACAAGTGATGTTCTGTTTTTAAAAATGCTTGTTTTGAACGGACCTAACAATAGTCTTAGTCTACTTATTAAGCTGTTTATTGGTGTTTGGAGAGAATTCCTAAAAGCTTTAAACTCAATCAAAGATGTAAAATCCCACATTCTATCAACCTCAAAGAAGACAGACAGCATTGTCTCTTGAAATTGAAACTCTTGACCTAAATCTGACGTAGAATGGCTTCCTTTATTTGTAGTAAAAAGAGGCTGTTGAGAGCATATTGTTAAGCAAACTGTTTAAAAACAAAACAGAACATCACCACTGCCAATAAAGGTCTATTATGCAGATTTTGAGAGCAACAGCATGCAGCTATTTCATTCATTCAGTTGTGTTTTATATATCGAATTATCTGTTGTACAGCATTAAGGGAGAAACAGCATTTCAAAATTTGATAAGGTGTGGCTAAAAAGATGCCCAAGTTTACCTCTGTGATGTCAGCTGCACAAATTTCAATTTTTATTTTTTCTTTTTACAACCTGTATGTATCATTCCCTCCATGTAAACATAATTTTAAATAGCACTTACATGAATAAATACCATAACCTTTCCTTATAGTAAGGGGCTGATGTTTAGGTTGCTAGGTATCAGTTGATACCATGCTCAGCTCTCCAAAATATCAAGTAAAGACCTTCAACAAAAACTTCCCAGAGAAGTAAAAGACTGAAATTCCCTCCTCAAAATTAAAAGCTCTAT